CGTGTAGTCGTGATGATGTAAGCAATAAGCAACTCTGAAACGTCGGAAATCTTCAACCAGACTACACGGCTCAACATCCCTGGATAAAGCCATCAGAACCATCGATTTGTCGTCATGAATGCAAAATAACTTCATTCAAACTAAAACAGTCTAAATATATAAACCGTACATTTTATTTTTAAACCGAGGTTATAAGAAGAGTAAACATGTAACTAATTAACTCTCTGTACCTCAAGTTGAATTAGAACACTCCGCATTCATTTACAAAAGTGTTTCTTTGTAATTAAGAGTGTTGTGATACAACGCTAATTAATACGTATTTTGCCTGGCAGCTCTTGATTATGCAACGTTGAATAAAACTGCATTGAGAATACAGCTACTCTCTATAAAGCATTATTTATGAAGTCTGAGGAAACAATTCCTAGAAACGCAGGGCAATGACGTATCTTTCTCGTATCAAGTGACCTGAGTCCAATCTGCGTCACACGGACACTCGTAAGGCGTCCTGTGGTATTCTCCATCATCCTAGCAAAGAAGACTCATATTTTGAAGAAACAAAACCCCGCAGAAATATCGGCACGTGGTATTTATAATATTTGATTACGTAATTCCGCCACTGGACCATATCCTGAGTCACATAAATCTAGTCCATACATCCATCTCATTTGTCTGAAGTCCATTTTAATGTCCTCCCATATACGTCAAGATCTTCTTAGATGTCTCTTCTCTTTAAGTTTTTCAATTAAATTTAAATACACATTTCTCATCTCTTCTACGTGTGCTACATGCCCAACCCATCTTATCCTCCTTTACTTGATCACCCTAACAACATTTAGTGTGGCATTGAAATTGTGCATTTTCTTTGTATTTCTGTCAGTTCTCCTTTCTCGGGTCCTTACCACTTTTCTCTTCCGTTATGGCGGGAAACCCGAGTTCACAGCCATACAAAGCAACAGGTAAAATGTTGATTTGTATAATATTTGGAATTAAGGAACAAAAGTAAAGGAGTAGAAGCCAAAATATGTTGGGTTGATACATTTTGAGTATTCCGTAATATTTTGTGAGATTTGAGGTTTTCACGGCGGTGAGGTAGATGATGAGTCTTTGTCTTGGCGCCATATACGTGCGCACACACGCACATACACACACTGTGTGTAAATCTAACTTGTTAAGTAAGTTTTTGATACGTGACTTCTGTTTTACAAAATATAATAAAACAATACATTGCTACATTTTGTTGATGTGCTTTTTCAGATAGGTTCAGAACAAGTCACGCAAATAACTCGTTGATATTTTTCACCCATTTTCATTACCCATTGAGGATTTGAATAGAAATTCTTTGTTCTCTGAAGTTGACAAGAGGGAATAAATTAATTCGTTGAGGCAAATAATGAATTTCTCACGTGGATACAGAAATTGAATCCGTCCTTCGTTAATTTTGCCACACAATGATGCGTGTTCCGTTATATCTACTTCATTTGATTTTCATTCAGCTGTATAATTTCAGCGAAGGAAAAGATTATAATTCTAGGAAATCGAAGAGAGAAATTTGTTTCGTTCGTTGAGTTGTCATCTAAGTCTAAAAGCCAAATGAAATGTATTCCGAATCTTGTTAGTTATCATGGAGCTACGCCCACTTCATGGGCTCCGGTCAGTCCAGCCTAGACTGCGGCGCCAGCAGACGGCCCGCCATTCTTAATATTCAGTCTCCCACTGCCCACTCTCATTGCACAGGACTGATTCAGTGAGAATTACTGGCTAAAACGCTGAACACCCCACAGTATCAGACCAAGAAGCAGCAGAATTGGTTGTGAGAGCGTAGCGCTTGTTGGAATTAAACAGTCGCAAAGTGTACAGAAAATAATTGAGGGGTTTCTAGGTAAAACGCAGTCCAAAATGGGGATTTTTTAACGCTGCCATCTTATAGGTTAAACCTACACTCATGAAGAGGTAATGCATTCCGGCAATATCGTATTAGTCTGGAAGAAAGTAAGTGGTGATATGTAGCTGTTTCTCTGCCCGTGTTGCTGTATTTTTTCAAATAAAAATAAGTTATGTCCATTTATTCTTGACTTATTTCTATAAAAGTAGAACATACGAGTAACTGTAACCACATTCCTGTTGCAATACATGCAAATTCATGGATATAAAGTAAAGGTCTTGAGGAATTCCCCAAAAACTTTAATTTTGGACTTGAAGCTAACTACTCACCTCCGTCTATTGAATCAACAAGTTAATTTTTAGTTTCGTTTCCTGTACAGAATACTGCCCTCCTAACACCTTTTACTAAATCTATTCCCCCTTCCCTATTTTTAGTTATGCAGAGTGGCTCACAATTCGGTGCGATTTTAAAAACATTTTTAAACCTGAAATGAAGGAAACTTCGAATATTGAGCATTTAAAAAACTGAAAATTGTAAAAAAAAATGTAATTTTCACCAATAAGGTGTGCGTCTTGTCACATCTTCAGGGGGGTTTTAACTTCAGAGTTATTATTTCTTTAAATCAGATCCTAATTGTGACTCATTCTGTATATTATTTTTTTCCCATTTGCATCTAATTGTATAATTTCCCATTTCGTAATTATACAGCATTATCCCCATCTAATGCCGAGGTCATAAATGCATGGAACTTTACCTCAAAACCTTTTATGTTACTGCTATGGCTTGGTGCTTAGTCGTATGGTCAAATTTTTTTTCTTGTATCGATATGACGACGCCCTCTCGAAGGATAATTTGGCACTCACATCTATCTGTGCTATATCCCCCCCCCCCGGTAACTCCTTTAAGAATTTCATGCAATCACTTTATCTGCGTCTCTGAGCGGCCATTCCGGTTTAACGATGTTACAGGCTTCAATCATGGAAACGGGA